ACAATAGAACGTTTTAGACAAACTGGTAGCGTAAGAAATCGCTCTAAGTCAGGAAGACCATTGTCTGCAACCAACGAAGAAAAACAACTTGATGTTCTGCAGACATTTATTGAAGATCCCAATTCTAGTGTTCAGAGAGTCGCTCAAACTCACGATATTGCTCCCATGTCGGTTTGGAGAATTTTAAAGAAGAACAAGTTCCATCCATATAAATTGCAATACGTTCAAGAATTGCAAAACGGAGATGAGGAGCGTCGTATACATTTCTGTGAAAGAATGATGGCACTAATAGATGTCCGGCCCATCTTCCCTTATCAAATTGTTTTCACAGACGAGGCAACTTTTACCTTAACGGGAGAAGTTAATAATCAAAATTTTCGTTTCTGGTCAGATGAGAATCCGAATTGGGTGCGGGAAACTCACACACAACATCCACAAAAAATAAATGTATGGTGCGGAATAATAGATGGCTATTTAATAGGGCCGTTTTTTTTTGAAGAATATTTGAACGCTCAAAGGTATGAGAGATTACTTGTTGATCAAATAATTCCAGCCATACAGAATACTTTTCCAAATAATTTCCAAGAAATATGGTTTCAGCATGATGGAGCTCCTGCTCATTTTGGTGCAGGACCACGTCGTATTTTAAATGAGACTTTTCCGCTACGGTGGATAGGAAGAAGGAACGGAAATGAGGGAGGAGAGGATTGGCCACCTCGGTCACCAGATCTAACTCCTCTTGATTATTATCTATGGGGATATCTGAAGAGTAAGGTTTACAGAACAAAACCTAAAACCATTCACGAATTGATACAGCGAATAAGGGATGAAATGGCTTTGATACCTTTTGAAACGAATCGTAAAGTCATTTTTACATTCTACCAAAGATTAGCATATTGTCAGGAAGTAAATGGCAGCCACTTTCAGCATTTACTTTAACACATTGAAACACATTTGCAATCGTTTGGTGCAACCTAACCTGATCTCTGTATACACGCACCGCACGCACGCACACGCACACATTTCGAACAATTATTATGATAAATGAGCATCCACAAATTTATTTACTGTTTACTATGTCGATTGCTTTCCAGGTCTTTAAATGCTCGATTGTAATTTGGTTGGGTCTTTGCTTTTGCTGACTGGATCCACGACCGATCTTGCCTTAGTTAGCTGGATCACACACACAACAGATGCAAATCCGAGCGAGTAACCTCCATGTAGTACACCTTGGATAATGTTAATACCGGCGCTACTCTATCATTCAACCCTCATAACTCGCAAAGTACTTAATAAAAATGAACATTATTATAGTGTTTTGGAAAGCTCTTGAATTAAGCTATAAGAATATGCAATCAAATGTAGGGGGTGTCATTTAAAAAAGTCAATGTGACCTTGACCTGACCTTGACGACGCCATCCAAGGTCAAACTGATAGAATCAGTATATAGATCTTCTTAAACCCTACAACTTTTGTTGGAAACACTTTTCTGTAAAACGTATATTTTCCGAGATATTTAGGGGTTTCCACACTTTTGGTAGACCCTGTATATATATATATACCGGGTGTTTCAGACCAGAAATATCTAGTAAACCATTCATTTTTCGATTATCTTACCTTCATACTTTTATGTACAAAATAATGAGAGGAATCAATTGGTGTAAAGAAAACACATAGTTGTTTCTAAGAAAAAATATGTAATTTGCAATTAACAATTCCATATTTTTTCTTAGAAACAACTATGTGTTTTCTTTACACCAATTGATTCCTCTCATTATTTTGTACATAAAAGTATGAAGGTAAGATAATCGAAAAATGAATGGTTTACTAGATATTTTATGGTTTATATAAAATTAAGAAATTATTTCAAGCCTTATAACTCAAAAAGTACTTAATAAAAAGGTACTTAATTATAGTGTTTTGGAAAGTTCTCGAGATAAGCTACAAGAATATGCAATGAAAAATCGGGGTTCCCATTTAAAAAATTCAAGTCGACCTTGACATGACCTTCACGACGCCACCCAAGGTCAATCAAATTTACCCATGTAATGCATTACTTTATCTTCAACAACTTTTGTCTGAAACATTTTTCAAAATAACCACTTCCTTTGCTTTAAAATGGGGTGTACGGGTGGTCTGAAACACCCGGTATATATGGATAAAGTTCCGAATAGGTGAATCTTCCAATTTTTTTGAGACTATACTATTTTTTTGTATTTTTGTGCGCTGATTACGAATATAATAATGAAAATTTGCGACTAGGTCATTTTCAAGGTCAAAACTCCAAAAAATTGCAAAAAATATCAGTTTTTTGACATTATTTCGATAAATATTCATGTATCAAAAAAATGTTTCAAATAAAAGTTGTAGTTCTTGTAAAAATATATCATTTATATTCTATACATTTTTCGCGTAAAATTGAAAGTTTTCGAGAAAATCGACGTTAAAGACGTAAAATTAGTGGTAAATAGATAAATGTTATAAAAATGTAGACGGTATGTTAAGTTGGGAGTGGCGCATAGGTGAACCCTCCGATTTTTTTGAGACTATACTATTTTTTTGTATTTTTGTGCGCTGATTACAAATATGATAATGAAAATTTGCGACTAGGTCATTTTCAAGGTCAAAACTCCAAAAAATTGAAAAAAATATCACTTTTTTGACATTATTTCGATAAATATTCATGTATCAAAAAAATGTTTCAAATAAAAGTTGTAGTTCTTGTAAAAATATATCATTTATGTCCTATACATTTTTCGCATAAAACTGATAGTTTTCGAAAATAATGAGATAAAAGAAAAGATCCTCTCCTTTTGCACTAAGAAACATGAAAGAAAACATTAATATATTCTTCGTTCTCAGCCAAGCCCGGAGTCAACGACTAGGACAAAGAACTGACACTATTTTTTTTTGTTTTTATACTTTTTTTTTGTATTTTTGTATTTTTTAATTTTTTTTGTATTTTTGTATTTTTTTATTTTTTTTACATTTTTTTTTCTTGTATAGAATTTATATTTATTAAATCTTCGCCTTACTAAAAATCTGATGAGTCTAAAATATACTAAAAATAGATACAGAAAAGATTAGCAAGACCCCTACGCAAGGTGTGTGTGCGTATAGAATTTATATTTATTAAATCTTCGCCTTACTAAAAATCTGATGAGTTTAAAATATACTAAAAATAAATACAGAAAAGATTAGCAAGACCCTTACGCAAGGTGTGTATAGAATTTATATTTATTAAATCTTCGCCTTACTAAAAATCTGATGAGTCTAAAATATACTAAAAATAGATACAGAAAAGATTAGCAAGACCCCAACGCAAGGTGAAAAGCATATTATGTTTAAAAAGTTATTTTAAATTTTTATAATAGATATTAGCTATATCATAGGCGGGAGGGCTTCGGCCCCCATGCACTCCCTTTTTCCTGCTCCTACGTTTGCCTCTCGGGGCTTCGCCCCCGAACCCCCCTATAATATGCCCTCGACCTACTTTGTCCCCAAGTCGTTTTAACCCCAGAGACTTTTGTCCAAATTATTTCATCCCCAGAGTTTTTTCGAAGGAGCTTCTGTGTACAACTGAACGATGTGCAACTTTCCGTGTATACCTGAGCGGTGTGCAACTTAGCAGTGTGCAAATAATTGGTATCCAAGTGCGCCACTCCCAACTTAACATATACCGTCATTTACCTATATATATATATATATACAGGATGTCCCACCCAGAAGTGACCACCCTCTTTTATCTTTTAAACTAAAAGAGATAGACCACAACAAATATATATGAAATTAACTGAACTTTATTGTGAGTATAGTGGTTGATTACAAAATTTATCTGTATTAAAAAACGGAGAGATATGTATAATTTTTTTATAATAATGTAGATATTTTGATATAATAAAAGTTGTAGCGCTGTTTGGAACGAATATAACGATGTACCATTGATGTAAATATTTTACATATTATACGAGATTTTCCGGCTTGAAATATCGTGGGCGACGTTCACCATTTCATTTTCGGCACTGCGATATAGCTAACTTTTGACTCGTGTATTAGAAGTTGATGTATGTCATGTTGTCATTTAATCATGATACTCAGTCAAAAGTTGGCCATATCGCAGGGCCGAAAATGAAATGGTGGACGTTGCCCGCGATATTTCAAGCAGGAAAATCTCGTATAATATGTAAAATATTTACATTAAATCGTACATCGTTATATTCATTTCAAACAGCGCTACAACTTTTATTATACCAAAATATCTACATTATTATAAAAAAATTATACATTTCTCTCCGTTCTTTAATACAAATAGATTTTGTAATCAACCATTATACTCACAATAAAGTTCAGTTAAAGCCATTTAATTTCATATATATTTGTTATGGTCTATCTCTTTTAGTTTAAAAGATAAAAGGGGGTGGTCACTTCTAGGTGGGACACCCTGTATATGTATACATGTATATATATATATATATATATATATATACACATATATATATACATATACAGGGTAGACTATTTTAATCAGTATACGCGAATATCTCGAAAACACTATATTAAATCGAAAAATGTTTCAGACAAGGTTGTATGGCTTGAAGGGGAACATAAGATGGTGCCATTAATTTGACCTTGAAGAGTCATCCGAAGATAACGTGAAGATCACCTCCAACTTTTTAAATGTAAAAGTGTAAAAGTATATAGGGAATCCCATTTAAAAAGTTGGAGGTGATCTTTAGGTGACCTTCAGTCTGACTCTTCAAGGTCAAATTAATGGTACCATCTTATGTCCTCCTTCAAGTCATACAATTTTTATCTGAAACACTTTTCGATTTAATGCAGTGTTTCTGAGATATTCGCATGTATTGATTAAAATAGTCTACCCTGTATATACATACATATATTAGACTATTTCGCTCACTCTTATAAAGCATTTGTAAACCACATTTAATATATGTGATACATTACAACATTTGTGAACTTTCCTCTTTCTTTATTTCCAGATGGTCGACCTCGTTCAGGCATCAAACATAATAACTTGGAACAGATGGTTTTTGACTATTTTAGGATTATGGCCACTTAAAGTGAATAAACCTTTATTCATATTCTTCAGTATTTATATGATAATTTATTGCATTATGGGAGTAGGCCATTTGATCAAGTATTTTGATCAACCGGATCTCGTTGTTGCGAATTTGACGGATAATGTTCTTTTCACAATGATATTGGGAAAAATGTTCATATGCAGACGAAGTTGCGAAATAATGGCTAAGTTTCTAACAGCTATTGAGAATGATTTCTTGACCGAAACTTACAGCAGTGTTCAGGAGAAAATGGCATTTTTGTATTATAATCACATGGCACTGACATTTATCAAGGTTTCCATAAGTTTGTCAGGATTTGCGGCTATATTATATTACTTCAGAGTATTTTTTGATAATTGGAGTGCAAGTAAGTACAGAATACATGTACATTTTCCTATTATGTAATTTAAAATTATGTCATAATAACGGTTAAAAAAATATTTTATGAATCATATATTGTCATCATATATTAAATCATTATTTTTGTTCGAAAAAGGATGTATTGACATATTCTATCATATTTTAATTTAATAGTTTAAAAAATACAAAAAGATTTTGCAAAAATAATTTCTACTTTTTTAAAAAAATTATACTTTTCAGAATAATCACAAATTATTTATTATTCTATAATTTATTTTTTATTTTTTATTCTATAATTTATTTTTTATTTTACTAGTGTTTATCTTTTATATTACTTTCTAATTTTTATTAATTATCAAAACATTTTAACATTTCATTATATAAAAACTTATTATATTAGAAAAACAAAATATGATATAAAACATACTAAATATTACATTAATAATATTTAAATATTAATTTTTTTAAAACAATTAAAGAATAGAATAATTGTAAAATTTGAAAATTTTTAAGAAAGAAAAGCCAATTTACTTTATAACAATATATATAATGCTCTACTGATAAAGAACATTATTCAACATTATTCAACTATTTGTTATATTGATAAATTTTAGATGTGTTTTAATTTAGGTTAAAATAATAGACACGTATATTTTTATTTTTTAATAACCGTTTAAGGGGAAAAAATTTTGGTTTGTAAATTTCTAAGCGAATAAATTTTGAATTGAAGCGGTAAATATACCGATGAAGGGGGACCCACCTCGATTGCCTTGTTTTTGACATATGTTGTCAAGGTCTGAGTAACTGCCCTGAGTAACATCCAAAAGGTTTTAGCCGTCGTTGTTCGTTAAAAAGTTATTAACAAAAGAAATTAGAAAGAGAATATAGATTTTATTGACATCGTATAGGTAGAACAATAGTATGAAAACACAGTTCGAAAGTATTTTCCACACAAAGTATGTTTATAGTCCGAAATATGTAAGCATAACAATAATACAGACTTAAGCTATAGAATTATTCCTTGTATTTAGTACTTGCAGAACTCTAAATACGTGAACATGAGACTTCACATATACTTTTCCATGTAAAGGAAGATTTCACATGTTTGCAATGAGGTGGGGGTGGGGGTGGGGGCGGGGGTTGGTGTGGGTGTAGTCTGTGCATCTACTTTGCAACGCAAACTGGGACTTCATATGGGTTTATAAAACTGTGGCCAACTCAATCATACTTTATGTGAATATTTAAATTATTTTTTTATATAACAGCTAAAATAGTAGGTTTATGAAAAAAATGCACATAACCTTTTTTGTTTTTCAGAGTTTTTCAGCGGCTTTATTTTTTGCTTAAAATTTTTTTTCTCAAATTAATATTTTTGGAGATAAAAAGTATTAAAGTTGTGAAATTCTTTTGTTAATAACTTTTTAACGAACAACGAGGGACGGCTAAAATCTTTTGGATGTTACTCAGGACAGTGACCTTGACAACATATGTCAAGGACGAGATAATTGAGGCGGGCTCCCTTCATCGGTATATTTTTACCTTGTGAAAAATTGTGTACATTATTATTTTTCAAAGTATTGTCCATCGCTAGCCACTACTTTTTTTATCTTTCTGGCAGCATACGGATTCCGCGTCGAAAGAACAACTCATCTTTTGATGTTATCCACCAATTGATCCAATTTTTCGTATCTTTGTAAAATTGGAAGCGCTGCTTAGCCAGGCCATGTTCCATGGATCGGAACAAGTAGTAATCCGATGGAACAATATCTGGTGAATATGGCGGGTGGGGTAAAACATCCCATTTCAGCGTTTCTAAGTATTCTTTGACTACACGAGCAACATGTGGTCGAGCGTTGTCATGTTGAAAAATTACTTTATCGTGCTTTTGCTCGAATTGCGGCCGTTTTTCCTTCAATGCACGGCTCAAACGCATCAATTGTGTTCGGTAGCGTTCACCAGTGATGGTTTCATTCGGTTGAAGCAGCTCATAGTACACAATACCAAGCTGGTCCCACCAAATACAGAGCATGAGCTTCGAACCATGAATATTCGGCCTTGCCGTCGTTGATACATGATCAGGCAAATCCCACGATTTTCTTCGGATTTTCTTAGGATTATCGTAACGTATTCATTTTTCATCGCCAGTGATGATACGATGCAGAAAACCCTTTTTTTTGCTGTTGAAGCAATTGTTCACACGTGAAAAATCGCCGTTCAACATCTCTCGGCTTCAATTCGTATGGCACCCAATTTCCTTGCTTTTGAATCATACCGAGTGCATTTAAACGTTTGGAAACTGTTGCGATCAACATTCAACGATTCAGCAAGTTCATCTTGCGTTTGACATGAATCTTGGTCGAGTAATGCTTTCAATTGCTCATCTTCGAACTTTTTCGGTTGACTAGGGCGTTCCTTGTCAACTGTATCGAAATCACCACTTCTAAAACGTCGAAACCAATACTCACACGTTTTTATCGATGGAGTATGTTCACCGTAAGTTTCCAATAGCACTCGATGACATCCAGCAACACTTTTCTTTGAATTAAACAGAAAAAGTAAAACTTCCCGCAAATGGTGTTTTGTTGGCTCGTAATTCGACATCTTCGGAGCTGAGAAAAAATATGTTGTTTACACTTCAGCAAAATGACACATAATAAAAAGCCTAATGACAGAGCTTTGACATGAATATAGTTACAGAAGTGTTCGATGCGATATAGCATAAGTTACGCCATCTATTGTAAATCCCTCAAAATTAATTCACAGTCCTAGTAAAATAGCATGTTTTTACATGTAAAAACATGCTATTTTACTAGGACTGTGAATTAATTTTACATATTAAAAATAGAAATAGAGTTAAATAAGAATTTGTCTAAAGAGATGAAATACAATTCTTTTACTGGAAATCAAATTTAATTCTTATGCTTTCCGGACTATTCTTATCATTGAACATATTTAGATCGTGCATTTATGTTATTTGTAATGTTGTACGACTTTAGAGTAACAATAAATGACCCTTACGGAAAAAACACTCAATATTGGGAATATATTCTCAAAATTGGGAGTATACACTCAAATATTGAGTGTATACATCGAAGATTGAGTATTAATAATTTTATGCACAAAATAATGTGAGAAATCGATTGATGTGAAGAAAACACTTAATTATTTCAGAAAAAAAATATGTATAATAAAACTAAAAAATAAACGCAAAAGGCAATAAAGAGCCGACGCAGGTATAGAAAGAAAGTCTCCTTCTCCAATATCAATCCATTTTAATCTTCATACATTTCGAGCTCAAGTCTTCTTCAGTGAATATATAGTCTTGACATAAAAGAGAAAAACTGGCAAGTCATCGCCACGTCCCACAACAGTCCGATGCAATATGCCTCCTAAACGGTGCAAAGCGCAAGGAGAGATGCACTAATGCAAATATACATATACGTTATGATCGAAAGAATAAAAAGCAAATGTGTGAAAATTGTGAAAAAATATGTGAAATTTGAAATAACAGAATAGAGGCAAACTTACTCAGACCGCGGGGAGCAGCAGCGATAACATGTACACACCACAAGCGAAAAACAAACAACAACGAATGATCCACGGTGAAAAGTCAACAAAAGTAAATATAAAATCGAAGGTGGTAAAAATTCGCAAACAAAAATGCAACTTAAAAATAATAACAGATACATCAAAATTTGGATAACCGTTCAATGAGAGGCAGACATGCAGTATGTAATTTCATGGTATCGCTATGGAGGTTGAGGGCGTTCTTCTGACGTTTTATATGGATGGATCATCTCCGACACCAATCTTTTCCCCAGAAACAACTCCTCATCCAATTTGCAATTAACAATTACATATTTTTTCTCCGAAACAATTATGTGTTAATTATACATAAAAGGGGCCCTCCTCCGATTTGGTTTATTTTTAAATATGTTGTACAGATCTTCCCGAGTAATTTCATATATACATATATACAGGGTGGCCCACATAACTCTTAATCAGCTCAATATCTCGAAAACTATGCCATCGATTTTAAAGTTCTTGATCTTAAATTGCATGGATCTGACGGGCCTTTCTATCTACATAAACGGTGAAGTGGCCGCCCCTTCTCCTTTAAGGGGGGGCGGGGGTAATTTTATAATCTTAAATGGAACCCCCTATAAAACGTTACATATTTAGATTCTACAGGAAAAAACAAGTAAATTTTGTCTGAAACACTTTTTTGTCAGATATTTCCATGATGAAATATAATAGTTTGAAGTTTCGATTTGTAGGTACTTACTTGAAGCGCTCGGAAATAGTGTTGTTGAATTATAAGCGTTTGAGTTCTTTGCGTATTCGTAAAGAAATAAAATGTTTTTTATATTAAATGTTCAAAATGTTCACCACGGACTTGTAAACATTTATTTACTCGAAACATCAAAGTTGTTCTAACATTTGTTAATATTTCGGGAGTCACTGAAGCGTAAGCGTCACGTATTCTTTGTTTCATATTCTTTTTTGTCGTTGGCGGTTTAAACATAACTTTGTCCTTTACATATCCCCATAAGAAAAAATCTAATGGTGTTAGATCGGGGGATTGAGGAGGACATTGACGAGGTCCCTTACGACCTATCCATTTGTTCCCAAATTTTTCATTTAAAAATTGTCTGATGATTGCAATTGTGATGATTGCAAAATGTGGAGGAGCGCCGTCTTGTTGAAACCACATTTCTTTTCTAATGTGTAGTGGCACATCTTCCAAAAGCGCAGGCAAATGATTTTTTAATAAATCACAATAACTTTTAGATGTTACAGTTTCTTAAAAAAAATAAGGTCCAATCACAAAATCTCCTATTATGCCACACCAAACATTCAAAGATCATCGATGTTGAAAGGGAACAGATCGCATCCAATGTGGGTTTTCAACGGCCCAATAATGCATATTATGTTTATTTACATGTCCTGAATTCATAAAAGTAGCCTCATCGGAAAAAAGTATTTTGCACGAAAAGTCATTTTCCATAACACCCTGCAGCCACTCACAAAATGTTACGCGGTGATCGTAGTCTGCCATCGAAAGCTCTTGTGATAAAATCAAGTGATATGGATATTTTTGTTGTTTCAAAATTCGTTGAATTGAAGAACGACTGATATGTGATGTTTGTGCAAGTTTTACGTTGACTAATATGAAGATTTAATGTAATTGCAGCAAGAATATTGACACTATTATTTTCATTAGTGACAGGTTTAGGTTCATTGCGAGTTTTTTTAAACAATTAACCGTGCTCACGAAGCCGCTTTTCTAAATTATAAATTGTTACATGAGATTTTTCGATCTCATAACGTCCAAAAAATATCACTGCTGCACGCCAATAATTTTTTTGGCATTCACCTAACACTAATAACATATTCACTTCCGTATCAAAAATAGCCATAATTACAATGTTACTGCTTGAATAACAGCTCTAAACTGAAAACATTTTCATGGATAATTGAGTCAAACTCAAGAATTGTAAATATTATTATTTTTGTTTCTTCACGAATAAGCAAAGAACTCAAGCGCGTATAATTCAACAACGCTATTTCTGAGCGCTTCAAGTAAGTACCTACAAGTCGAATCTACAAACTGTTATATCTCATCATAGAAATA